TGGGGGGAGAAGGGGGACGGGGCAGCAGTGGCGCCCGGGGGGTGTCCCAGGGTGAGGCTGAGCCTCTGCCGGGGAGGGAACCCCTGTGCCCCCTGTGTGTCCCTGCAGGAGAACCATCCTGAAGCAGCAGGAGTGGGAAAGCTGGTGTCTGGAGGACATGGTGCTGGCCACGGAGCAGGACCACGCCAGGACCGACCAGGAGGCCACGCTGGGCTTCCAGAGCGCCCGGGACGACATCAAAAGCAAGGCAGGGGCAGGAGGGAGCAGCCAGGGGGCTTTAGAGCTGGAGAGGGAGGTCTGGGGGCGGCAGGTCACCCCCTGTGTGTCCCCAGAGCTGGCAGGAGCAGCAGTACAGCCGCCTGCAGCTGGTGGGGAGGCTGGAGGGGCTGTGGAAGCAGATCCAGAAGGCCCGGCAGAGCTACAACGAGGCCACGGAGCACAAGATGGCCGAGTTCAAGGAGCTGCTGAGGAAGTGCGAGAGGAGCTCCCGGGAGATCGAGGAGCAGTCGCAGAAGCTGCAGAAGCTCCAGGTTTTGGCAGGGAGCTGGGTGGCTGTGGGAGCAGGGACACCCCTGCCCACTGCTCGCTTCCCATGGAAGCACAGAGCTGCTGAGGTTGGAAAAGCCTCCAAGGCCATCGAGTCCAGCCATTAACCGGGAGGTGACAATGGGCTGGGTTAAGCAGGGGCCTCCCAAAGAGCTTGTGCTGCAGCACCTGAGCTGTGGCTCATAAAATCATGGAATCGTTAAGGCTGGAAAAGCCTCTGAGACCATCAAGTCCAACCATCAACCCAACACTACCAAGGCCACCACTAAGCTATATCCAGCCATTATTTGAACACTCCCAGGGGACAGCACATCCACCACTGCCCTGACCAGCCCATTCCAGTGCCCCGCCAGCCTTCCCACGAGGGAATTTTCCCCGGCACCCAACTCCCTGTTCCACCAGGACACGGTGGCGGCCACCAGGGCCCAGATCGTGGCTCACGCCCGGGAGAGCGAGGAGCAGATCCAGCGGGCACGGGAGGGGAAGGAAGAGGCCCTGCGGCAGCTCCAGGAGCTCCGCAAGGAGGTGACCCGGGCGGTGGCCACGGCTCGCGCCGACCTGGCCACGCTCAGCTGCCAGAGCGGGGCCGCCCTCAAGGCGCTGCTGCGGGTGGTGGAGAAGGTGAGCCTGGCAGTGCCGAGGGGGGACATCCCGGTGTCCCGGTGTCCCCTCCCACCTGCCCTTCCCCGTGTTACCCCCCCGCCAGGCCCAGCGCATCCTGCGCCTGGCCGAGATGTGCCGCAGGCTGGAGACGGAGGAGGAGAAGGTGCTGCCCTTCTACCCCTCCTCGCTGGCCGAGGGGGAGCTGCAGGACGCCCGCAGAGTCCTGGAGGAGCCCCCCGTGGAGCCCCTGGCACAGGTGAGGAGGCACTGCCCGGAGGTCCTGGATGTGCCCACAGGGAACAAGGGTCGGGATCCGGCCCTGAGGACCCCCCGGCTCTCGTCCCTGCCTCCCCCCAGGCCGCACAGGACTACGTGGGGCTGGAGCGGTTCTGGCAGCGGTTCAACAAGGCGAAGCTGGAGGAGAAGGTGCTGGAGCGGACACGGGCAGCCCTGGCAAACAGGAACCGGCACCTGCGGGAGCTGCTCCAGCAGTACCTGGCGGGGGTCTCAGTCAGCCGGAAGGTGCTCAAAGACCTCGACCCCCTCCTCGCCACCAAGCAAGAGCCACGTCCCCAGAAATGAGCCCCGAGCTGGGGCGGGGCCACGCTCGGGGACATCAGGACACCCCGAGAGCCTCCAGGGAGGGGTCACCCCCCCAGACCCCGTCCTCAGCTCTGCTGGCTCCAGCTGAGACCCCCACGGGCAAACCAGGGACCTGCCTGGTGCCTGGGGACACCAGGGACTGTCACTGCCTGGAGATGCCATAAAAGAGCAAAACTGCCCAAAAATGTGCTCCAGGGTCTTATTTCTGGGATTCACTGAGCGGGGGGGGCTCTGTCACCTTCCACTCAGGTCTGACGTGACCCACCAAGGCCCTGGAGCAGGCAGGGAGCTGGGGGGGTGCACAGCCCCTTCCCACTGCTCCATCCCCACCACTGTCCCGGTCAGAGCAGCCACAGATACCGAGGGGAAGGTTTTATTTCTTTTTGGCTTTGTTCCTCTTCTCCTCCTTCAGCTTTTTCTTGGAGAGCTTGGGGCTGCTGGCCTTGCGGTACAGGTGGAACCCGATGAGCCCCAGCAGCGCCGGCACCAGCCCCAGGCACAGCAGTGGCACCACCTCGTTCACCACCTTCTGCCAGTAACTGGCCCGGGACAGCCCCACCAGCTCCACCTCAAACCGCAGCACCGCGTCACCTGCGAGGGGGGCACGGCCTGAGCGGGGGCCACGGCGGCTTGGGGGGGACCCCATGGGGACCCCGAGGGCTGCACTCACCTGGGATGGTGGGGGGGGAGCCCCGCTTGCCGTAGGCCAGGTGAGGGGGGATGATGGCTCTGCGCTTCTCCCTGCCACGGGGACACCGTCGGTGCCACGTGGTGGGGACACGGTGGGGGGACGCTGCCCACCCCCGTGCCCCCCATCCCCGCTTACCCCACACACATGTCCAGCAGACTCTGCTCCAGGCCTGCAGGAGAGCGGGGAGAGGGGTGAGCCGGGCTGGCCGGGGGCACCCTGGGTACCCCGATCCCCCCACCCCGGTCCCACAGCCCCCACTCACCGGGGATCACTTGGCGCTTGCCCAGCTCCACCTGGAGCGGGTCCCGGCTCAGGGAGGAGTCGATGATCCGCCCATCCTCCAGGGTGCCCTGCGGGACACACGGACACAGTCACAGCCCTGGTCACCCCTGGGGATGCAACCCTGATGCTTTCTCCATGCGGGTCCCAGTATCATCCCACTCCTGCTCTGGTGCTGATCCCAGTGCCCACCCTGTGCCATCCCTGTGCTGATCCCAGTTCCGGTGTCCCCCACTGTGCCACCCCCCTGCCATCCTGGGGACATCCCCTCTGCTTGCAGTGCCAAGGCCATTTTCAGGGCAATCCTCAGGCTGATCCCAGTGCCAACCATGCCCACACTAGGGTTCAACCACACCAGCCCCAGTGCCACCCCTGTGCCTTCCCAGGTTCTCCCCCAGAGCCCACCCCAGTGCCATCCCCAGGCCGCCAACCCCAGTGCTACCCCTGTGCCAGTCCAGGTGCCACCCAGAGCCCATCCTGGGGCCGTCCCCATCCCAGTTCCAGTGCCACTCTGGCGTCGCCCCCATGCCCACCCTTGTGCCGTCCCCGTGCCCACCCCGGTGCCACCCCTACACTCACTCCGGTACCACCACGGTGACACCACAGTGTCCACCCCGGTACCACCCCCGGTACCGCCCCGGTGCCGGCCGAGCCCCCCCCCGTGCCGGTGCCCCCCGCCCCGCCCGCGGGAGCGCAGTGCTGACGTGTTCCTCCCGCCGCCCGCCCGCACCGTGTAGTGGATGTGCACCGTGTCCCCCGGCGCCGACAGCTCCGTGCAGCCCTCGGGGGGGGCCACCTGCAACGGGGGGGGTCACTGGGAGCCGGGACGGGGCCCCCTCGCCTCGGGGTCCGCGCACCCCCCGTGCCCACGTGTCCCCCGAGCGCTCCGCGAACCGGACTCTCCCCCCGGCTCCCCCGTCCTCCCGGCGCGCCGTGTTCCTCCCCGCAGCCCGGTCCTCCCCGTGCCCCCCCGCGGCAGTCCGGTCCTCCCGGTGCCCCCCGGCTCGCACTCATTCCGCAGCCCGGTCCTCCCGGTACGCTGTGCCCCCCCCGCCCCCCGTGCCCAGGCCGGGCGCTCCGGTGCCCCCCGAGCAACAGCGTCCCGCGGGTGCCCCGTTCCCCGCCGGTGCCTCCGTCCTCCGCCAGCGTCCCGCCGGTGCCCCGCCGGTCCCAGCTCCCCGCCCCAAGGGGCCGCGGGGGTCCCCGGTGCCTCCCGGTTCTCCCGCCCCTTCCCGGTGCTCACAATGGTCTCCAGCCGCAGCTCCCGGGCGCCGGTTTCGGTTTCGCTCTCGGCGGCGCGGGCGAGCGGCGGCGGCGGCAGCAGCAGCGCCAGGAGCAGCAGCGCGGCGGGGGACGGCATGGCCGGGCTGGCGGCGGAGGAACCGGGACCGGCACCGGGACCGCCCTTCCCGCCCCGGGCCCCTCCCCCGGGACCGCCCCCCGCCCCGGGACCGGCCCCGGGACGGGCACCCGCGGCTGCCCCCGGGCCCCGGCGGGGTCGAGGGACAGGGGGGTCCCCGGGACTGGCCGCTCTGTCGGTGCCCGGTGCCACGCGTGCGCTCCGGTGCCACCCGGTGCCACCTGGTGCCAGCCGGTGCCACCGGTTGCCACCCAGCCCGGCCGGCACCGAGGTCCGGCTCTGCCCGGGCACTATCCCGGGCAGCAGGTCCCGGGGAGCGTCATGGTGGAGGTCCGGGTGGGGGTCCGGGAGGGGTTCGGGAGCCGGGGGCTCGTTCCCCGGGTACAGCTCCCGGTGTCCCGTCGCCGCCGGTGCCAGCAGGCGGCAGCACCGCCCGGGGAAACCGGCGCCCACCGGGACCCGGGACCCCCCCCCAGCCCCCGGCGGGTGCAGAGCATCCCTTCTCCTGGCACCCCAGCGTCCCTTCCAGCTCCCGGCCGTGCCCAACAAGAGAAGCCGAGCCCGAACGGGGGACCCGGCGGCTCGATTAGGGCCCGGTGGGACCGAATTTGCCCCAAACGTCGCCGTCCCTGTGCCTGGGGGTCCCCAGCCCGCAGAGTCCCCCCGGTTTGAGGGGGTCACATCGGCACGCGGATCCCTCGCCCCGTGCCAGCAGTGACGGCCCCGCTGCCAGCAGTGGTGGCACTGGCCCCGGTGCAGCTCCCGGACGGTGGCCCCGTTGACGCCGGTGGTGGCCCCGGTGCAGCTCCTGGACGACGGCATCGGCACGCCGGCCCCACCGGCGCACCCACATACCAGCCCCGGTTGCCGAGAGGTGGGGAAGCCGGGCTGGCGGCGGGGCCCGGGGCGCTAATGGGATTAGGGGCGCCGGGTCAGCCCCCGCCGCACAAAGCCCTCGGTCCGGCCGGTGGGAACGCGCCGGTGCCGGCTCCGCTGCCCCCCCCACCGGGGAGCCCCGGTCACTGCCACTGCAGCCCCCCGGTGTCATCTCTGCGGCTCCCACCCACCGGGGAGCCCCGGACACCCCCAGTCTGACCCCCCCGTGTCATCATCACAGCCAAGAGCAGCCCCCCAGGCAGCAGCCCAGAGGGGACACGGGGGTGGGGATGGCAGCGCTGGCTCCAAATGCGACTCAGCCCCCCCTTGACTTACGGGGG